TAATATTTGAGTTTTGGGACCTCGGTACTTACAGGCAGAGATGCCAGAGCTCAGGTTCTTGGAGTCCTCCATGAGGTCTGCTAGAAATGTGTTCATAAACTCACATAGAGTGTAAATCTGTGATTGGATAACAATTGCCCTATGATACATAAAATTCGTTACTTAATATGAAATAATGCTACTGATTATCAGATCAATATTATCAGATCAACTGCTTCCTGATCAATCACTGCTTTCCAGTTGGAGGAAGACAGGAAGATGTTTTATGAAATTATTGGTATTTGAAACAGTGTTTAAAACTCAACATAGGTTTGTGTAATCTTTAGTACAGAATTGGCCTAGAAAAATCATGCCTGCCACAATATATTACCCAAATAGAAGGAATGTCTGCTAGAGGAGCATGAAATGTTATTGTTCTGAGATAAAGAGTCTTCTTATGGAATCAAACCCTTAAAAAGCCAAGTACCACAGGTCTCCATGCCAGTTGTTATTCATATGTTTATCCAAAACCCTATGCTCACAGAAGTGTGACCACCAACTACCCAAAGGACTGTGAGAAATATTGCTGTATCAGCGTAGGTCTGTGTTCTGTAAAGACTTTACAGTGTAGGTCAGAGTACTGAGACTGGGAAGGCAGTAAATATGAGACTAGAGAATACTGCATAATGGATAATTTCAGAACTATTGACAATTATCATGTACATACATTGTGTCAGTCAATGAGTTCTGTGAAAAACGTTTTAATAGTACTTTTAACCAGCTTATAAGAATTATACTTTTGTGGTAATAAATTATGATAAAAATATTTCTGACACTCTAAGAGACTTAAAGTTTTGATGGACTACACAGCCAGAGTGAACAATATACTTTGAAATTCTTCATACTATGTTCATACTGTACACTCACGCTGTTAGTTTAACCTTCCTTTAAGAGAACATTTTCATTTTGTCTTATTGACTGTGTCCTTCATCAAGTGACTGGTGAAAGCAGATGCAGAGATACACAGCCAAACCCCAGGTGGAGCTCCAGGAGTCCAACCGGTGAGAGAGAGGAGGGATTATATGAGCAAGAGATATCGAGACCATGATTGGAAAAAGCACAGATACAAATAGCCAAACTAGCGGAAACACATAAACTGTGAACCAATAGCTGAGGAGCCCCCATGGAACTGGACCAGGCCCTCAAGATAAGTGAGACAGTTGATGAGCTTAAACTGTTCAGGAGGCCTCCAGGCAGTGGGACTCGGACCTGTCCTTGGTGCATGAGCTGGCTTTTTGGAACCTAGGGCCTATGCTGAGATACTTCACTCAGCCTTGTTGTAGGGTGGAGGGACTAGACCTGCCTCAACTGAATCTACCAGGCTGAGCTGAATCCCCAAGGGTGACCTTGCCTTGGAGGAGGTAGGAATGGGGAGTGGATTGGAAGGAAGGCTGGAGGGTGGGAGGAGGGAGGACAGGGGAATCTGTGGCTGATATGTAAAATTAAATTAATTATAAAATAAAAATATTTATTAAAAAAGGAGAACATTGTAACACCAAACATTATTCACCTATGATTTCCAATATAATCAGCTTTTACAAAATGAGATAATGCATAGTTCTAACCTTATTTTGTGTGATCTTCATGCACCTGAAGGAAGACTAATTCACATGTGTTTATATGTGTGTTATGATATTTGCTTAAAACACAAATTTAGGTTTCAATAAATTTTATAAAGTATCCAGAATAGTTAGAAATATTATACAGATATTGTTTGAATAAGAAAAGATGTTTGTAGCACTATTTTTTATTTGAGTGAGTGAGCTTGAATAAGTTGTCAATCTCTAGTAAAACTCTGTTAAAGATTTCTGTCTAATATCCTTAATTCTTTTCTGATGTGATGCATTCCGTGCTGTTCAATAAATACAGAGTAAAGATCTTTGTTAATGACAGAGAAAGACAGAGACAAGGGGGGACAGAGAACAGAGAGACAGAGAGGGGCTCAGAGGGGCAGAGGAAGAGATGGAGATAAACACAGAGATTCAGATCCTACAACAGAGACAACAGAAGACAACACAGGAAGACTCAACACAGGGAATTCAAATCTGTGCTTGCTCTTGGTTAAATGACATCACGGGGAAGGGCTTTCCTTAACATGTGGAAACAATGTTGATGAATCAGAGTTGATTATGAATGTGTACAAACCAACTAGAAAACTTATATAAATGAATTGGAGTCAGAGCATAATTAAGATAAAGTCATCAAGAATTGACCATGACTAAGAAACATCCATGTTATGACAACCATGAGACTCACTAAGAATCTTGAAGAAAGAACGGTGATAAGTTGTGCTGATCTATGGGACCAGTTATAATAAAACATTTATTCCTTGACTATCGACAGGGCCTAGTCCAGTACCATGGGGCTACACAGCTCTTGGTCCACAGTTCCCGCATTTCCACTAGTTTGGCTGGCAGTCCAAGGTGGGAACAGTGGATGGATTGGCGGGGGAAGCTGGGAGGCGGGATGAGGGAGGAGAGGGGGAATCTATGGGTTTGTATGTAAAATGAGTAGAAAACTTCTCAATAATTAAAAATAAATAAATAAATAAAAATTTAAAAAAAAAACTTTAATCCTATGGTACCAGCTTAGGCTAGCACTACATTCTCACCAAAGGAAAAGGAAGTCCCAGAAAAAAAGGTCTCCTACTAAATCCCTTGCATCTTCTCAGCATATGTTCCTTCAGGATGCTAATGTATAAATAAATGACTCTTACCCACAAAAGGCCTTAAAGAAGTTTCTTAGGAAGGACAATTATTAACTGTGTTTCCAGTTATTAGAAAAGTGTAAAGAATCCTGCCCATGAACACCCTCTCCCCATTCTCCATAGAGAAAGATCTCAAAAATTATGTTACAGAAATTTGGGTTGAGAGTCATTTCCCTACAGGAATAATAGACATTTTCACAAATATTTATGAAATAATACCCTTAGCCTGACAAGCCCTATACAAACAATTTTCACCACCCCTCAGTTTAGTCTGTGGCTGTAGTAATGGATGGACAAATGTGTGTCCACTGCTGCTCATGACCAAAGTCAGGAACCAGTACAAACATTATTTATTATCAATTTATCGGACCAGGGAACTTCCAAACAGTGACCCAACTGCTTCCCTGCCCTCAAGTGGACAACAGCCAAAGCACCAAGCTGATATAAGGGCTTTGAATGAAGTTCCTGATATTAACACTCCCACAGGCATATTTTCCACAATAGACAAAAATCTACAGAGCCCTTTATGACTTTGTCCATCATCTGCAACAAGCTACAGAGCAGCAGACAGATAATAAAGAAGCTGTTTCCACCTTGTATTTTTCAACTACATATTAAAATACAAACTTTAACTGCAGAAATCTTTATTCTGAAGTTACTAATACTGCTGCTACTATTGCAGATTTGATAAAAGCACACCAAAATGTTGGCACAGAGGAGCATAAGTCTCAGATTCTGGCTGTATCTTTGTGGCCTCCTATGTGTTTCAAATGTGGAGGGAACAGGCCATTTTCAAAAATAATACAAACTAAAACTTGCTAATTATCATCAATATAGTAAACCTCCCTCTAAAATACCTGCACAATGTAAAATGCATTTTTACTGGTCCAGTCTATGTTGATAGTGGTGACAAAGAGAATTCAATTTCAGAAAACAGAAGAATGAGCACCAGGGCTGCTGATGACAGGATCAGGTCTCTACATTCCCAGCTTGGAATCCCACTGCCCTTTTCCCGGTGGTATCTGAGCAGGAGCCCAGCTTGTTGCCAAAGTAGCAGACTCCATACCCTGGGGACCCCACAACATGACAGTCAGCTCCATCCCTAATCCTAAAACAATAAGAGATTCGATTACTACTGTCAAAAGCAATTCATGATCAGATGTCTCAATAATAAAAGATATAAAATTGAATTTCATAGCAGAGATTAAAGCATCTACCCCAAAATCTATGGGGATCCCTTCCAACAAACTGCCTTTGCTTGATTTAGTCAAACAAAATTGGACTATAAAAGGGGCTTTGTTTGTGCACATTAAATCTGTTAATTTCTCTTTTACTGACCTAACTCATTTTATAGCTTATTCCCAGCCACTCCAGCAACAGTTCCAGTCCCTTAGATTTAAGAGATATTTGTATCATAATGTGTTGCCACAGCTTGTCCTATTTTGCTTTATTAAAAAAGAATCATGTCAGCCGGGCGGTGGTGGCGCACGCCTTTAATCCCAGCACTCGGGAGGCAGAGCCAGGCGGATCTCTGTGAGTTCGAGGCCAGCCTGGGCTACCAAGTGAGTTCCAGGACAGGCGCAAAGCTACACAGAGAAACCCTGTCTCGAAAAAAAAAAAAAAAAAAAAAAAAAGAATCATGTCAGTGAAAGTGGTCACTGGTAAACAGCTGGTCAAAGTATGGTGTACTGCTGTGGGATATCTTTCTGTATGCTGTGAATGTGTGTGGCTCCCATTGGATAATAAATAAAGCTGCTTTGTTCCATAGCAGAGCAGGATAAAGTTAGGCGGTTCATTCAAACTGAAGATGAGACAAAGAAGGGTAGAGTCCAGGGAGACATCAGCTGGCTGTCCAAGGAGCAACATGTAATGGGTGGGACACAGGTAAAGCCACCCTAAACATGTGGCGATACATAGATTAATAGAAATAGATTGATTTAAATTATAAGAACTACATGAGGAGAAGCTTGAGCCATAGGCCATACAGTTTGTAATCAATATTAAGCCGCTAAGTGATTATTTTATAAGCAGCTGTGGGACCGCGAATGGGAAAGATTCCTCTGGACCACAGGGCCAGGCAGGACCAAGAAACTTCCGCCTACAGTATACTCTAACGGCCTCCTGAATCAGCATCATTTTATTCCCAACAGTCCTTTTGAAAAGTTGACAAAGACCCTATAAGAGTATGATATAACAGACACAGGAACACTAAGAATGATTATTTCTGAGCAAGTCCCCAGGCTAAACATCTCTGTCATCTCAGTCCCAGGGCAGCTTCCTGCTCCTCCAGGGTTTCTGACACACTCAGGATGTGGTTTTCAACACTGTGACTTGCACAGTAATAGATCGCAGAGTCCTCAGAGGTCAGGCTGCTGAGCTCCATGTAGGCTGTGTTGGAGGATGTGTCTGCAGTCAGTTTGGCCTTGCCCTGGAACTTATGATTGTAGTCAGTATCATCAGTTTCAGGATCAATCCCTCCAATCCACTCCAGGCCCTGACCAGGCCTCTGCTTCACCCAGTTCATATAGGTGTCAACGATGTTGAAGCCAGAAACCTTGCAGGACAACTTCACTGAAGACCCAAGTTTCCTCAGCTCAGGACCAGACTGCTGCAGCTGGACCTGGGAATGGACACCTGTGGAAAGAAAGGCAGAGTTGATGTCATTGTCACCTCAGGCCCTGTTCCTTCTTCAGGATTGGAACTGGAAAAGCCCCTTACCTGTAGTTACTGACAGGAGGAAGAGGATGCTCCAGCTCCATCCCATGCTGAGGACCTATGTGCTCAGGAACTCTGGAGAGGACACTGATCATATGTTGTTCTAGGGTGTGGACATCTCTGTATTTACTACCACAGACTCATGTAATTTGCATATTCATGAGCAGGGTACTTCTTAGATAAGGACCTAGTCCAGCTGGAGAAGGAGGTAGAGAACACTTGGATCAGGCAGCAGGATGGATGATGAGGACCAAGTCATAATCCTCTCTGAGGAAATGTATAATATTTTCCTACCCTGAGCCCTGTGAAGATGCTGAGGAAATAGCATCAGGACCTAAGTTCTCAATATGTTTCAGGCCTGAGGCAGATGCTCCACTTTGTGACAAGGTTATGAGATTAATTTGCAGATGTTGGTTGTGATAATAATGGTAGAGATAAGAAATTTAAAAGCTCCTAAGTTTGAAATTTACAACCTCATTTCAGATATATGCAATTAATATTTGCCTTTCCAACAGATTATATACCAAAGAACTCTCCCAAATGACACAAAGTAAATACACTTCAGAAATATTTGCACAACAATGAATATTGCAAAAACATCAAAATAACTACATTATGGAATTAACTATGTGTCTGTCAATATATTTCACCAAGAAGACATGTTCATATAAACAACAAACAAGTTTTTCATCTACAATCAATATGGAACTTCGTAAGTTATAGGATCCAACTAGAGATAAACTTATTTAGACCATTTCAGAAACACAGACATTAAATGAGACTCTCATTAGTAGTTCTTAGATACTTCATACTTACGGACAACTAGGAATACAAATACATGATGAAGTATAAGTGAAATTGTCTAGTAGAATAAAAGTAAAGTAGGAGGGGAAGGAAAATGAAGGGTAGAGAGTATGGTGGAAATACACGCAATGTACTAAATACATGTGTATGAAAATTCTAAACACATGTAAAATTGTTATTTTTACATTTCATAATTTATATTCTTTGAAATTTTAATCCATGTATAAAATATAATATGATCGTATCTACAGCTACTGTGCCCCGCTGGTTTCTCTTGGGACTTTCCAATAAGACTCTCTCCCAACTTCCTGACCTCTTTTATTTTATTAACTTATAATGCAATGAGTTCAATCAGTGATATCTATATACACATAAGTGGGTTCATTCTCTGGTACATAGGAAACCTCCATGTAGCTAGAGTTTTCCTGCCTGGCCCACAGTCAGGGCAAATCTCTCTCACCTGCCAGTCCCACAGCCGTCAGACCCGACCAAGTAAACACAGAGACTTGTATTGGTTTCAAACTGTATGGCCATGGCAGGCTTCTTGCTAACTGTTCTTTCAGCTTAAATTAATCCATTTTTATAAATCTATACCTTGCCACATGGCTCGTGGCTTACCGGCATCTTCACATGCTGTTTCTCATCGTGGCGGCTGGCAGTGTCTCTCTGACTCAGCCTTCCACTTCCCAGCTTTATTCTCCTTGTCCCGCCTACACTTCCTGCCTAGCCAATGGCCAATCAGTGTTTTAATTATTGACTAATCAGCAACACATTTGACATACAGAACATCCCACAGCACTTCCCCCTTTTTTTTTAAAAAAAGGAAGGTTTTAACTTTAACAAAGTAAAATTACATATAATTTGGGAATTTGGGCGTAGCTTCTCTTACTACTTCCTGCTGGAGGGGGGCACTGTATCTTATGGGGATACAAAGAAAATTTTAGGATCATGGAAAAGTCCATGAGGGTGTATCGTCTGAGCCAGTTGCCTTCAAACCATTCTGGATGTTGGATCATCTGGGCCATGGTGTCATAGGAGACCTTTCAGGGGGTCTTGGCTGGTCAAACCTGATGTATCTTAATCTGGAACAAATCCATAGCCTCTGGCTTTCTGTGGGAACAAAAGCAGAGTCTCCTTTCCAAAGTAACATATCCTTATATTCAAATTTTGAAGTCAAGGTACCTTTAAAGTATACATTTTGACATAACTCAACAGCTTTTACAATCAAATGTTTTTCTGCAGTTAAAAGTCCCAAAGACAACACAATCCAGATTCTCTGTGTAATATCCATTTTTACGTGGCTTAATTTTTATACTACCTTTACTGTCTCTTTAAAGACTTTATTTTTTAAAACTATGTATTTGTTTCTATAACTCTATATATCATCTTTTTTGTCTCTTTCAAGCCTACGTATCTTTTACACATATTGTAAACTATTACATCTGAATCTGTCTTATTGTGAATCTATTGCCTTAAACTGCAGCAGCTGTAGCTGCTGGCTCCACCCACCTCAGCTTCCCAACATGGCATTTTCCACCAGCTCTGGGAGCTATCGTGGGTCTCTATGCTTTTATCCAAGCAGTGTGTAGCCCAGAAACCTCTTTTTTTTGTTTTGTACCTGCAAAGGCTAAATCCACCATGCAGCTTAATGTGCCACTTGCAGAGGCCTCATTCCCGCCAAACTGCAGGTCGAGCACGCACAACAGAAACCCACAAGTAGCTCAAACCGGCAGCTGCCGCTCATTTGAGAGAGACAATTAGGAAGCTGTTTTTAGCTCTGTTTTAGAATCTTTTTTTTCTCAGTTTTTAGGTGGAAACTCTTGCCCCACGTTGGACGCCATTTGTAGCTAGAGTTTTCCTGCCTGGCCCACAGTCAGGGCAAATCTCTCTCACCTGCCAGTCCCACAGCCGTCAGACCCGACCAAGTAAACACAGAGACTTGTATTGGTTTCAAACTGTATGGCCATGGCAGGCTTCTTGCTAACTGTTCTTTCAGCTTAAATTAATCCATTTTTATAAATCTATACCTTGCCACATGGCTCGTGGCTTACCGGCATCTTCACATGCTGTTTCTCATCGTGGCAGCTGGCAGTGTCTCTCTGACTCAGCCTTCCACTTCCCAGCTTTATTCTCCTTGTCCCGCCTACACTTCCTGCCTAGCCAATGGCCAATCAGTGTTTTAATTATTGACTAATCAGCAACACATTTGACATACAGAACATCCCACAGCACCTCCAGAAACCTTCCAAAGAAAATAGATTATATTTTCCTCATCAGTCATCAAATGCCAATGGATCCTCAGCTTGGCATGGGTCCTCGGGAGTTTCTCTCCATCCATGTAATAGTTTTAAAAATTGTTATACTATCTTTAGTGGTGAGAACAGGGCACACATGCACCGAGGTGTTTGTGCGATCCTCAGAGGACAGCTTATGGAATTTAATTCTTATATCCTACCATGTGGGTCAAAGCAATCAAATTGATATTGCTAATCTTGCCAGTAGACACCTTTACCTGCTCAGCTAGTTCACAGGCTCTCACAAACCAAAATGAACTCAATGGTATTTTTATAGATATTTTCTCTCATATCACAATGTGCACTTTTTGTATCACTTGGCTTTTACCTGTATATCACAGAGTTTTGTTTTTAGGATTTTGTGTATGTTTGTGTCTGAGTATTTATTGTTGTAGTATTGTTTGGTTTCAATCTCTTTTTTAAAAGCTTTTTTGTCTGTTTTTTTTTCCTACAGAGAGAAAGACAGACTGTGCAGTTGGGTTGGAGAGGATACAGGAAAGATTTGGAAGGAGTAGAATGAGAATTAATTGTATGAGATTTTTGAAAAAATTGTAAAAAGTAAATGAAAACTGAATAAAATAAACAAGAAAATACAAACCTGTGAAGAATTTAACAAATAATCTTTACTGTGTTTGAGCATGGAGACATCACATGGCAATCACGGTAGGTGTAGGTCAGCTAGTAAGAAAGGAAACCACAGAGGATACAGAGTCCCTTCATACCACTTTCATCTCTCTACTGGGTATTCTTGGCTCCATTGTGCCCCCTGCTGGTCATGAGCTCCCCTGCAGGTTGGTTTGTCATGGCTTGCACTGAAGTTGCACTGTCTCCCTGGAGCAGTAACACAACCCTTCAACATCAGTGCTCACAAAGTGCAACTACAGGGAGAAATGGCTCTTGTTTATCTGGAGTTGCTGACTGGATGTTTCAGAGACTGATGTTAAGATGTTTCTATACTATCATCAATGCCCCTCTCGATGTCAGGCTCCTCCCTGGGGACGGTTGGATCCAGCTCTAGCAGTTCCCACTTGTAGTAAGGTGACAACAGGAGAGAACAAAGTCTTGACTACCTTCTTCAGACTTTACCTGGGACAGAGCACCTGATGTCAGAGAACCATAATGAGTCTGAAGCTCAGATACAGCCTCCCATGTATCCACATATGAATTCCCGAGACATGCAGATAAAGGGGTCGACAGAAAGAGGACGAACCACTGTGGTACTCACAGAAAAGTTAACAATTTCAAGAAATATACTTGCATAATAAGGAAGTAGAAATGAATCAAATATGCACTGTGACTCAATCTGTTTTCCACACTACCTTCACTTACATTTAAAGGAATAGGGGAAAGAGGAGATCTGCTTGACAAGGATCCTCTTGGGTGGAGGATATGTGTACTTACACAGCTCTATCTCTCCACATCTATCATTCCAAGTACAGAGTCCTCTTATTCTTAAACAGAGCATGTGTTAGTTAAGCTTTTCAGAAGCTGACCATTTTCATAGAAGAATGGTGGATTTGGGATATGCTCCCAGGAATGGGACAATCCAATAGCACTATGTAGGGATATGTGTGCATGTGTGTTTAAATATCTGAAGTATTGCTACAATATTAAAACAAAAATATACTACATAAATTCAGGCTATTCATGTATATTTGCTCTAATACCAGGTCATGAATCAGATGCACTTAATGTTGCAGGATAAAAGAAGCTGGGACCAGTCTGGTGCATGTCTTCTCTTCTGTCACTGGTCAAAATTGATATGATGTCTTGTGGACTGTTGGTTCACAGGGCAACACCCACTTCTCATTATAGAGGAAC